TCTGTCACAGATGCAGAAACTGGACAGATGCATGCCCAAGGTTGCACTGCCAGAGGGGCCACCCGGCCCTGGGCTCCCTTCTTTGCCTCTTAAGATGAGAGACTGTGGTATGCTCCTCAGAGCCCAGGGAAGGGAGACAGAGGAGAGGTGGGTGCCCAGCCAGGAGGAAATCAGGTGGCAGCTGTCTTCAGTTCTGGTAACTTCCACAGCCAGAGGAAGTTCCCAACACTGGGGAGAGGCCTCCACACGAGAAAGAGCCCAAGGCTGGGAACCCAAGCCTCCGGTTCCATCCTCGGCTCTGCCTCAACTCTCCATATGACCTTGAGCATGAGACCCCTCCTGGTATCAGAGAATACAGTGAGGGGGGCAAGCCTGAGCAGCTTGGACGTCTCATCCAGGTCCCGCCTCTGAAACTTGAAATCTGCTCTCTGTCTAGGTCTGCCCAGGCTTCTGGTCTACCCAACTCGGGTACTAACCAGAACCCAGCTCCCTGCCCTGAGTCCATGCTGACTCAGTCACCCTTGTTGGTTCCCAAGACCGTAACTGTTGACGGGAGTAGAAAGCCCAGTCCAAAGAGCTGCTGGTTTCTAACTGCCGACCACGTGGATCGCAGCCCAGCGCCGAGCCTCTCCACCACCAGGGTGCAAGAAGACAGCAGCAGCCTCAGGAGAGAGGCCTCCGGGATCCCCTCTGCTGCCAACAACACCTGCTAAGCCCAGGCTGGACCTTCCAGCCTCAGATTCCCGGGAGAGGCCAAAAGCAGGGAAGGCCCGTGAGCTCACCTCAGTGATGGGAGTCTGAGACCAGAGAGGTTCAGCAAGTTCCCCAAGGTCTCACAGCAAGTCACGTCTGGACAAACCTGGCTCTCCAGTCCACTGCCCACATGGCCCTATGACAGGCACATTGCCATCCCGTGTGGCCGGCTCCTCCGCAGGGAATCTACCGCCTCTTCCCTGTCCAGGCAGTGGTTTCCACATCTGCAGACCAGGGAGACTGGCAGACCGGGTGCCTGGAGCAGCCCCGCCCCTCAGCACTGGGGCTTCACCAGAACCTCAGTGCTTTTCACCGGGGCCTTGCCGGACCTCTACCCTTTCTTCACAGCGTATGGTGCTGCCGGGAAAGCCCATCAAGCCACACTCCCACGTGGCCCTGGCCCTCTCTGAGGAGGCTGGGCTCCTCTCAGAACTGCAGGCTCCAGCCCCGCTCTCTTCTCTGAGGATCTGGAAGTTTCTTACCATAAAAGGGCAAGTGTGCCTCCTGTTGCCAGCCCCATGAGGGGAAAGGCTGAGCTATTTTTAGAAACCTCCAGGGTTTTACTCCAGAACCCAAGATGAAGAGGGTGTGAGCCCGCGGACACCCCCTCCTCATCCTTTCCCGCCTTCACTGGCTACCCCCCTTTCCCTCCTCTTCCTCCTTGTTCCCCCTTCCTCCTCCTGTCAGCCCCTTTTCCCGCCCTCCCCCTCCCTCTTCCCTCCGCCAGCCCCATCTCGGCCCCCACTCCTCAGACCCTGCCACAGCCACCTCCTTCCCTCTCTGCCTCCCTCAGATCCGTTTTTTTAGAAAGTAACACATCTGCACCCCCACCTCCTTCTTAAATACTATTTACAACACAAATTCCAAACATCCGCCATCTGGTTCTGGAAAGAGCCAGGAGATGTTTGGAGAAGGAAGTCATGCTTGTTCCATTTTCAAAGCCAAAGGGACGTGCAGGTCCTCCCTCCCCCGCCTTCCTCCGGGAGCCCCTCTGTGTGGTCCCCACAGAGCATGCTCATCCATGACAGCAGGGTCTAGGCACTTGCTGGAAGCCCAGCCGACCTCCCTCCAACAGGCTGCTGCATGACTGAGCTCACGACTTCTCTCCGGGCCTCAGTTTCTTCATCCGAACAATGGGTGTGCAGCCAGGGTGCCTCCGATATTCATGCTCGATGACCTCGAGTCCTGATTCAGAAAACCCCATGTGGTCTGAGGCTCAGAACTCTGCTCTGCTCTGGGGCCAGCCGGGGAGTATCCTCTACAACTCTTGATGCCCCAGGTCCTCTCGCTTCCCTCTTGGTCTATGCAGACCGTTCACCTTCATCCACACTCCCACCAGGAGCACGGGATGGGTCCAGCCAGCTCCACCTGTCTGACCTAGGAGGATCCTGGATGGACATCAATGAGAACTGTCCCCTCCCACCACAGGCTGCAACCCCCAGCCTGAGACCCAGAGAGGCCCGCAGTGACATAGCAGGTCTATAAGAGACCTGGGGCCCAGCCTGCTACCCTCCTCAGTCACCACCCCAGAAGAGACCCAAATCTTTATCAGCCAGCTGTCAACAGCCTGGGTAGTTGGGAGGCCCTGGTCCTTCGCACAGCGAGCAGGACTGGACGTGGCATCGGCTCCTTGCTCACGGCGTTTTTTCAAACAGGAAGGAGTGTGCTTGGGAGAAACTCAGGCTGGCAAAGGCAGAGCAACAGCTCAAATTAGAAACCTTCCCCACCCCACCCCTGCTTCTGGAGACGTGCAGACCCTGACAGGGCCCAGCTGGCCTCACTTATACTGAAATGCTTCCCCTGTTCATAAGCCCTCTCCACGACCACTAACACACATGCGACAAAGCAGCAGGAGAGCCCAGCTCCCTTGTCTCAGGGTGAACCAGACCCAGAGACTGGTCTGGCCTCACAGTTGCCGTCAGGAGCCCTGGAGCGGGCTCCGGCTCCCAGGGACCCCGTCTCGTGTGCAGCAGAAGGAGACGCTGCCTGCTCTGGCTCCACACCCACAACTGTCCTTATGTTTGCAGAACGACATCGACATCGTTGCAGCCATGGTGTCAACCCACCTTAGCGAGGGCCTTCCTCTTGTCCTCCACCCCTCTACCCCACCAAGCGAGATGTCCTTCTCCAGGGGCCCGGCTCTTCCTGTCGACGTGTCCAAAGTACCTGAGAGCCTGTCATCCTCACTGCCGAGGAGCCTGGTTGTTCTCCTCACAGTGCGTGGTGCTTGCTGTCAGCAGCCCTCCCCAGCACCAGCACCCAGATTCATCGTCTTCTCTGCTCTTCTCCTTAAAGTTCAGGAAGTCGGTCTGGGCCTTGTCACTGCTGTCTGTGTGATCTTGGATGAGTGCTGTGACCTCTGAGGGCCTCCGTCTCCTCATCTGTACATTGGAGTGAAGAGTGCCTAACTCCTAAGTGATTGTTGTAGAGCCAGATCAGGAGAGCTGTTTAGAATAAAGCGTGGGGCGCCGGCAGGGCCCAGCAAAGCACTCCTACATCGCTAACTGTCGTGATCGTCATGCACCCAGGGAAGCCTGGTAGGCACTGAGCCTGATTTAACACAAGACACAAGAAACACAATTGCCGGCAAGTAGACTCCAACTCACGGGACTCCCCTGGTGTCAGGTAGACCCACCTGTGCCTTGTACGGTGTTCAACGGCTGCTGTCTTCAGAAGGCCTGGCCTTTCTCACTGGGAGGCTCCTGTTGGGCTCGAACTTCCCACCTTTCAGGTAGCTTCTGAGAGCATTCACCACTGGCACAGCCCAGCATCTGCACCCACAATGTCAGGCACCGCCCACCACGCTGGGCGTCTGGGCCTGGCAACGGGCTCGGGCCTCCATGTCCCCTCTCCTCCCTTTCGCTGGCATCTCTCTCATTTCCCCCTGGAGCTGCATTCTCAGGCCTGCCTCAGAAGTCCCCAGCAACCGCCCTCCCTGGGGAGGAAGCAGGAGCGTGTGAGGCTGGTGAACTCCGAGGGCCTCCCAGGGCAGGCAGTGCTCTGGGAACCGAAGCCCAGGGCAGTCACATCACCCCAGCACCGCCGCCTTCCCAGCTCCTCAACGGACCTCTGCCTCACCCTCTCTTTCCGCTCCCCCCAACACCCCAAGGTCCCTCCTGATAATGAACCCTGAGGCTAGTCCTTGTGCATAACTTGACATCAACCTTATTGCTTCTCCAGCAAGCCTATGATGTCAGAAGCCACGGAGACGCAGAGAGGTAAAGCCACATGTTCTAGGTCACACAGCTGGGCTCAAGGCAGTCAAGTCTGACTCCAGGGCTGCGTCTTCTCTCTGCCTTCCCAGCATGCTCTGGGCTGGGGCCTCAAGGAGCGTGCAGGCTGCACACAGACAAACATTATTAGCCTGTGTTTGGGGAGCTGTGGGCTAGAATCCCTGCAGAAAGAGCCGAGCAAGGAGCTGTGTGCTTGCAGGGACCTCAGCCTGCAACCATGATGCCACCATCTGGTCCACAGATGTGGTCTCAGCCCCTCGTGTTTCTTAGAAATGAGCAAGACCAGGAGAAGGCACTGGCTTGGGCAATGACCGTGACAATGTGTGCTCTCTTTGTGGTCCCTCTGCCAGGCCTGCCCACGCTCAGGAGTCAGCTGGGTCAAGTGTGAGGAGGCCTCGGTTCAAGGTCTGCCTCTAGTACTTGTCGCAGGTGATCCTGGGCAGGTGGCAATGCCTATTCTCTCACAGCTGGCAAAGGAAAACCTCCCCGGGGGCCTGGGAAGCAGGTCATTGAGTCCAACCTCTGGCTGCAGCCCAGTGCTTGTCCAAGGTGTCCCCGGGGCTCCTCCCGAGCCCAGCAAAGGGCCTCTGCTTCCTGCTTCTCCAGAGCCAGGTATGAGTGCTCCCAGGTTCTGAAAAACGAAGGCCTTGCAGCCACAGCAGCCACAGGACTGCCCTTTCAGCCTTGGCCCCCATCTCCCCTGCATGCAGGCTTTGGTCCGCTCCTTTCCGTGCAGGTGAGGTGGCTCAGCTTTCATTAATGGGGCTGGGTGTGCTGCGAAGGGGAGGGGGCCCCTCCTGCTCTCAGAGCTGGGGCTGCTCAGAGGACCCTCTCTGGAAGCCAGGCAGGCAGAGCAGAAGCAGTGACTGTCTAAGGGCAGAGGTTTCCAGTCTCCCGCTGGCCAGGCCCGGACGGCTTGTTAGAGCCTGGTGACTGGGCAGGACCCCATGCCCGGCTCTGTGGCCACACGGCACCCTGCATGCTTCCAACAGCCGGTGTCTTTGTTCCTTTCAGGCAAAGGCACAGGCTTGGGGCGGCTGGAGGGAACCATCCCGACAACTCTGACATCGCAGGAGCAAGAACCCCAGTGAGAGGACCTCCTGGGACCAGAGGAGGGCGGGCAGCAGGCAGCCTGGAAACAGAACAGATGAGTGAGTTCCACCTGCTCCCCGCCTATCAGGCCCCCACATCCACTCCACACTCCGATGGCAGCTCCTGTGACATCCCGGTGCCCTGGGAATACACCTCTACCCTCCCACCCCCAACACCCCCAGTCCTCACAACACTCCCCAAAGCAGGCCTAAGACTCCAGCCGGACACTCAGTGGGAAAAAGGGGGCTCGGAGGGCAGAGCTCCCCACCAGTTGGAAAGAGTCCATCCATCACTGCCGATCCAAAGAAGGCAAGCAGATGCGTTGCCTAGCAACTGAATCTTTTGCCTGTCAGACTTTGACCGGAGTGGGAACCAGGCCTTGTTCGTGGAGAGATGCCAGCCGGCACCTGCACCACAGCACACAGTGGAAGCGGCCGTCTCAGCCTCCATCTGCTCCACTGTCCCCTCAGTGCCGTGGGCAGCGCGCAGCTGCTCCACAGGGTCTCCAAGGCCGTGAGCCTCCATGGGAGCAGACGGCCTCATCTCTCTCCTGCAGAACAGCTGGTGGGTTTGAACCACCCAGCTTTCAATTAGCAGCTCGACACCTCGCCCACTGTTCCACCGGGGCCCAACGCCTACCTCCTACTCAGGTCAAAATCTGCTTCCCAAAAGATCCGGTTGCTTTGCAGTGTGTACACTTTGCAGTGTGTACGCCCAGAACTGTTTGTACGCTATTCCGGGCCTGTGAGGGTCTGAGGTGCAGACAGACAGTGAGTGGAGCCAAAGAACAGAAACTGAATCAGGAACCAGGACTCCACTGGACCCATCCTTCCCACAGACCAGCCAGGCAGACCCTGTGGGGGTTGGTGATTGATGGCTAAGAGGAGAGTGTGGAGAGTCATGGCCCCTGACCAGGGTGAAGAATTCAGACTCAGAACTCAGATGAGCTCATGGGCTCGATTCGTGGACAAGTTACACGCTGTGCGCTAGCCCTAGGGCCGTGGGGGTGAGCGAGGCCAGGCTGTATCCTGAGCGCACCAGCAGGAAGCGGAGAAACAGTTACAGTCCTGGTGGCTACTGTTGCTAGCGGCTGCCTTGGCCACGACTCTGGGTGATCCTTGCGCAATGGGATCAGCCTGTTCTGATCCATGGGGTTCACTTGGTTGATTTTTTTTTTTTTTTTGAGGTAGATCACCGAGCCATTCCCCCTAATCCTCCTTAGTTTGAAAGTCCCACTGGAAGGTGCTCAGTATGGCAGCCCTGCCCCCTGGACACACGATGCAGTTATCTTACTGAGGTGTAGACACTTGACCATGTATAAAGCACTCACATGTGTGTGGTGGAGCAGGCAGGGCAGGAGTGCCGGCCCCTGAGCCATGTGGAGAAACTGAGGCCCAGGCACTCAGAAGTCCAGGCACAGCTGGATGCAGAGGGTGGATTGCGGTCCCTGAGCACCGGAGGACGGAAAATGTGGAGGGGTATTTGGAGGAGAACCGGGAGGAAACGTGAAGGAAGCAGAGCTCCAGGAAGGAGCTGACATTCCGGAGACGTGGAACAAGGCCCAGCCTGTCTTATGTAAGGCAGCCCACCTGTTCAACCCTGCACACCCCACGCGGGTGCAAACGTGCATCCCAGCACCGTGCACACTGCAGGCTCTTCCTCACTAACAGATGACCCCGGGAGCCTGCATCTGAACAGATTGGATTAGGAGGGCTGCAAGCGCCTCCTGCCCGCCTGTCGGGCTCCAACACTAAGCAGGCCTACAGAGCTGTCAGCTGCGGTCTCTCTCCACCCTGCTGACAGGGCGGGCGGAGAGCCCAGGCCCTGGCCCTCCCCAGGAAGGGAGCTGGGGTGGGGGTAGGGGGACGGGCTGCAGGCGGGGAAGATCCCAGGGCCACTCAAGAGCACACAGGATGTGAGTGCTTGTGGGAGGCACGTTTCCCAGCCGTTCCCAGCAGCCCGCCCCCCTCCTCCCTAAGGACCCCCTGCAGCCTCTCTCACGGTCACTGCTGCCCAGAGGAGCAGAGTCGGGGGCCCAGACCCCAAGCAGGTTTCCCCGCTCAGCCCCACAGCTGGGCAGAGCCTGGGGTCTTCAGCTTGGGGGTGAGACGCAGGCAGACACTTCAGGGTTGTGTCCCAGGGTGGGCAATGCAGGAGCAGGGGGCCAGGTGGGGGGGAGAGACTGCGGAAGCAGAAACCTGTGCGTTATCCTGGATTATGGGCTAGAGGACAAAGGTTTTTCATTGCTGGGAGGCATTGAGCAATTTATTTATTCTGAAAAGGGGGTGGTAGCCAAATAAGTTCGGGAGCCCATGCTGTAGAGGGGAGGTGGGAACTTGCTACAGTGAACAGAGAGACAATGTCATCCTGCTTCACCTTGGCTTATCCCAGCCTCAGAGATGCTTTGGGGGGTGGGGCCTGGGCCACAATGCTGAGGTGACTCATGGGGTCACCCATCGGTGGTCCCTCACACCCCTTCCCTGAGTGGGTGTGGGGACGTGGAAAGAATGCGCCGTAGCCCCCAGCCCTGTTGCTTAAGAGAACAAGCTCCTAGAGAGGGTGGGTCTTTGGGCGCTGGGTCCCCCAACCTCCAGGAAGCAGCCCCGTCCAGCAGAGCTTTTTCCAGATGGTGTGGTCCCAGCGGGTGCATAGTGAAGTGCTCGGCTGATAACCACGAGGCTGGGGGTGCCGCCTCACCGCAGGCACCCAGGCAGTCAGGGCCAGGCAGCTAGTGATGAAAGGTCACAGCCCGTAAACCCTGAGGAGCTCACCAAGCACCCCCTGCCACCTCTTCCTTCCACTCACACACTTCATGCAGGTACAGGTGATTCCTGGCCATGGCCGGGGCCAGGCCTCAGCCTCTGTGACAGCCCCAGGTGACCATGGTGGCCCCGAACTAGAGTAGCTGGAGAGTGAGGGCAGAGTGGTGGCCGCCCAGCCCAGCGTGGCCTGGCCATATAAGGGAAGGAGGCCAGGAGGCCTCCTCGCTCCAGCCCCAGGGAAATCCAGACAGCTCTGTTTATTTTCTTCCTTCCAGCTTCCCCATCATCTACGCCTCCCCAGAGCCTCCCGGCAGAGGACGGACTTCTCCCTGCTCGGCTACGTGCCCCTGAGACAAAGGGGAGACAGCCATCCTCCCAGGGGGCAGTTCTCAGGCCAGCGCTGAGGCCCAACAGGTAAGAGTCTGGATCCCCATGGTCCAACTGCATCCTTTTACAAAAGGGGGCGCACAGCCTCAGAGAGGAGAGGGGGCTGGCAGGACGTGACCATGCAAGTTGGTGCCAGAACCTGGGGCCTGTGTGACGGGCCCCTCATCGCCCAACCGAGTCAAAGGGGCTTCTCGTGGGTGAAGTGGGAAACACACAGGGGCTGCCAAAGTCTTTCACAACTGGGCCCTCTCAAATCTGCATTCATTTAAAGGAGACTGGAGACTGGTGACATAGGGGGGCTCAGCCTTGTCTGCCTGGCTGCCTAGCAAATGGGCCAGGCAGCCAGGAAAACTTCCTGCCCCTCAGCCCCACTCCAAGCCCACCTTAGGGAAAACATTCCTAGTTCACCACCACCCCACCACCCCAGGGAGCCTCTCTGTCCTCCCAGACCTGGGTCATCTCGGAAGTGACTTGGCTCTGCCACTTGGCCACCTTCTCAGGGCCCTGCCCCCACCCCCCACCCCAGAGCCTGAGTGTGCACTCATCCCACTGGGTCTCTGCTCCCGAACTTGATGTGCTGGATGAACGGGGGACACCGTGTGTCCCCGAAGGAGTGGTGCATTGGTCAGGGGAGGAGACACTCGAGGGTCCCAGGGCCCGCAGATTCCCAGGGCCTGGAGACCCTTTCCCCACGGAGGCTCAGAGCTACAGTCGGATCAGCGCAGTGAAGACATTTAATCCACGGCTCTTCTTGCACCCACGAAGAACCCCATCGCCACCAAGGCGATTCCGACTCACCACAAGCGCCCAGGACAGTAGAACTGCTGCCCACAGTTTCCAAGTCGGTAGCCTTGCAGACTGCCTGGACTAGCACGGTGCTCGCTGGAAGCACTCCGCCACGAGTCCCCGCGATGGTCACTGTAGACCCCAAGGACCAGAAGGGCTCTGCTCACAGTCACAGGCCGACAGACCAAGGGCCACAAAGGAGAGGGAGGTCTGTCTTCTGGTCAGAGGATGTACCTCAGTCCTGCACCCCGATCCTTCCAGGGGATGTGGGGAGGCCACCCATCATGCTCCTGCTTCAAAACTCAGGAGAGATGCTACCTTGGCTGCGAAACACTTAGCCCGCTGAGGGGGCTTGGGGGATATTTCTCAACTCCCCCAGTTCAAGCCCTGGCTCCGAGAGCCTGGCCCAGTTGCCTTTCCTTTCTGGCCCTCTGTGCAGATAACAGCCCTCCTCCGCAGCTCCTCTAGAGTAACTGAGATAGGCACAGTTCTTCCAATGCCAATCACTTAGTGGTCCCTTTGGTCCCTTTGCCAGTTTGACGTCCACTCATAGTATTTTTAAATGTAGTAAGAGTCCTTAAAACATTTTTTTATTGTGAATTGGGTGAAGGTTTTCGGAGCAGATCTATCGGTTTTGCGTTCAGTAATTTATACTCATCTTGTTCATTGCATCCCCCGCCCCTGTGACCTAATTTACCTCTCTCCTCCGTGTTTCCTGTTTCCATGCCTCTTTCTTGTCTAAGCCTCCTGAACATCGTTGTCAGGAAAAGACTGGCTCATAAGTCATGAATGGCCGATTCTTCCGAGGTGTGTGCACATACCTTTGTTATTGTTCCCCTCATAGAGCGGCTATTGTTTGGCTGACAAGTCAGACGTGGGGTGAGCTCTGTTCCAGACCCACAGGGTGACTGAGGGACATGGTCATGGGTCTCCCACGAGTCTCTCAAGCCTGGTCTCTTTCATGGTTTTGGGTTTTGATTACCATTTTCTCCCCTTCTGCCCAGAACCTTTAAGGCGACTGCTGGCTGTTGGAGGAGCAGTGGGGAGTGGTAGTGGGGCCCCATCGAGTTCCTCTAGTCTCCGGATCGGGGAGATGGGTGTTCTCAAGTTCCATTGGTCCATATTGGAGTCATGGTTTCTAAGGCTTTCAATGTTCGTCATTCTTCTCGTTCAAATATGTCCGTGTAAACCATGCAGAGCTCCTGCCAATGAAAAGGACGCCCCTATGCATACGTAGAAGAAAAGGGTTAAAAATCAATGCCACGAGACTAAAACAGCATCCTTCCCATTGAACCTGCTGCTGCGGCCCCAGGGGCGCTGGGGGAGATGCTCAGAGGAGCTGGAGAAGGGAGGGCCATCCACGGAAGCTTCTCCTCTGCCTGAGAAACAGAAGGACTGAAGGGGAAATCAGCGGGGTTCACGCGCTCCCGGGTTAGGTAAAGGAGCCCAGGGGTGCAACAGTTAAGCACTTGACTGTGAACGGAAAGGGGGTGGTTCAGACATTGAGCGGATCCACAGGACAAGGAGCTTGACTTCTGCTCCCACAGGGTCCCGCCAAGAAAAGTCCCTGGCGGTTCGACCCTGTCACGAGGGTCACCATAAAGCATTCCATTCAACTGCACGCACAGCAATTAGTGAGTGACTGTGAGGCCAGAACCCACCAGCACCCCCAGATCCCGCATCGCTCGGGGTCGAGGACTTTGAAAGCAGCCCCACAGCGAGGGACTGTCCTCATTGGCTTGGTTCCTTCAGCAAACCCTCCTCATTTTTTAGGACCCCCCTCCCCGGGTCCTCTGCCACAAGCCTGGGGGTGTTCTCTCTCAGCTGGGCAAGTTCCACTGAGTGGAGCGGACAGGCATCTGTCACCCCAAATGTATGCCTCTGTTCTGAAGTTGTGCTCTAGCCAAACGCAGGTGCCAGAGACAGCCCAGCAAGAGGCCGGCAGGGGTGTGGGGTCTCTGGTCAGTAATACCTCAGGTGCAGCGGCCCGAGGGGCAGCATTGAGGGGTGTACTCCTCCCACTCTTCCCGGAAACACTCTCTCTTTCTCCTGCTTTCCCCAGCCCCTACAGCACCCCTGGGAGTGTTTGTCACCCAGCATCTAGGCCATCGAGCAAAGCTGGGGGGGTGTGTGTCGGGGACAGGGCGTGCTCTGGGGTGCCGGGGCAGACCGAGTGGCAGAGGGGCTCTGCCTGCCTGCCCAGAGGTTCTTCTCCAAGCCTGGGGCTCAGGGGGTGATGAGCCAGCTAGAGTCGTTCTCCCCAGCCGGCTGCACATGGTGCCATTCCCTGTCATCAGGGACAGAGCCCCCAGCCAGGCCCAGGGACCCCCGTTAGAGCAGCAGGGGCCTGGCTCTCAGAGTGCTCGCAAGCTGGGAGGCAGCCGTTCCACCCAAGCTGATTGGCCCTGATCTCAGTGGTGGTAAGTAGACAGGGCCCCTCGCAGGTGGGCCACACCGCAGCCCGACAAAGGTGACATCACAGGTGGGATAAGGGTTTAGGAAGAAGGTGGTCAGGATGGGGGGGGGGGGGCATAGAGAAGCCAGATGTCTGCACAGCGCGATGGCTTCCAGGGCCCCCACCTCCAGTGAGGGGTCCCAGACTCAGCCTGAGGACCATGGCGATTTCAGGGATTTGGGGATTTCAGGCAGGAGAGCACTGTGGTGCGATTTGCTTTCTGAAAACTCTCCACGGGGCTGTGTGGCAGGGCGGGCTGGAAGGTCAGGAGTGGACGCAAAAGCCCTAGTCCAGGCAAACATTGGTGACGTGCCACCAGGACCCCAGAATGGTGCCTCCTGCGAGGGACCCAAAGGCAGGTCCACGTCTTGTGACTCTGTTTGTACAAAGGTCCGAGAGAGACAGAGCCACGGAGACAGAGGGTTGCCCAGGTCTGGGAGTGGTGAGCGTTCAGGAGCTGATGGCTCAGGCGTACAGGCTCGTGATGAAATCCTGTCAAACAGACTGACCGCGGCGACAATGGAAGCACACGGCTCGGTGCATTCATAAAGCTGCCCGCAGACGGCTGGGCTGGGGCTAGGCATCAATCAGCCACTTTTAGAAGGAAAAGCTGGTGGGGGTCGGGGTTGGGGGCCGGCGCAGGTTTGCTCCCAGCCGGGCCCCGCCCAGGGCAGTAGGCCCCGCCCACAGTCTGCACCAAGCTGAGGTCCTCTCCGCCCCTCCCTTGTCCAGGTGAACCCCCGCCCCGCCCCCCTGCCGGAGCAAAGCCACATGGCGCCCTGTCTCCCAGCCTGAGGTGCAGTGCTGCATCTCTGGTCAGTTGGGAGTCTGAGATGAAGCACTGTAGCTCGGGAAGGGAGAGGTTGTTCGACGCCGTCAGCCTGGACGCGGTGAGTGTGCGAGCTGGGGGGTGGGGGGTGGGGGCAGGGTAATGGGAACCAGAGCCCTTCATATCTGTCTCCAAGCTGCTCGGCCGCGCTACTTCATGACCCGTTTGTCCACCTGTAAAATGGGCATGGATTGGTGACCAGAACCCAGCACACTGCTTCCACTGGCTCCTTCTGAGCCCCCTCCCTAACCAGCACCTCCAATCTATCAGGGAGCCAACCCTGTAGTGTTGGGGCACTCTTCAGCATCCTTCTCAACACGGGGCCCCATTATTTCTATTTATTATAAACGGATAGACATTATAAATGTTTCCTAGTTGAAACCCATTCACCACTGGGAGTTAGAGAGTTCCTTCAAAATCCTTTCAGCCCTAAGCGCTAAAGACCAGGGCTTGGGTCAGGCCTGTCATTCTCTGTTCCCTTAGCCTTGGCCCCAGGCCATTGCCTGAACCCAACCCAGCATCTCATAGTGTGTGAGCTCCCTCAGGGGCTGCAGACAAGCAGGGAGTCACAGAGGGAGACCACGGGGCCGAGAACAACTGTATCTCCTCCCTCCACGAGCCCAGGATATGGACAGTGGTACTGGCCCACTTTGCAGATAAGAAAATGGAGGTGCGGTGACATGGTTTGCCCAAGGTCACACGTTGCCCGTGCTGAGCCAGGCTGTACCCAGATCCGCCTGCCTTCAGATGCATGTTCTCACCTGCTACGTCCACCCACAGAGCCTGAGGGTGGGGGGTGGGGCAAGGGAACGTAGTGAGCCTCCCTCTGTCTTGCCCTTAGATCTGGGGTCACGTTTAGCAGTCAGACCTCAATACTTTCCTCTAGCCCTGCAGACTCCCTCCTCCACCGCACCCCACCCCCACCCCGAGATACTTCTTATCCCACCTGATCCAGTTGGTCCTAAATTTTCTCGTTTGGGAATGATGGAACCTGAAGCTCAGGAAGGCTGCCTCTGAGGATGTCACCAGGTGAGACTGGGAGCCAGAGCAAAGCTGCCCCTCTGGCTGGAGGCTCCAGGTGACACGATCAGTCATGGGAGCCTGAGGGTTGGGGTGCCAGAGGCTTTCTGGTCAACAAAGTAGCCTCTGGTGACAAGTGACAGTATTTCCCAGGGTCCTTGGTGTTCCAGCCACTGCCCCTGCCCAGGGCAATGGGCCCTGTCCTCAGTGCATGGTGCTCGAGCTGACTTTGCCAGTGGGGCCAGATGCAGAAGAACAGGCCAGCTGGCCCCAGGGGACACGGCGCCCAGCTGCTGAAGGCCACTCTCCCACCTTGTCCTCACGGTCCAGTTTTCCCAGGAATCCCTTAGATGCTAAGATGGGGATTCCTGGAAATACTGTTCTTGAGGTCATGGTTTAACAGCTGGATCTGCCTTCCTCCCCACCTCAGAGATGCGCCTGGGACAGCGGCTCACAGGTGGGACTCATCCCACAGCAGGAAGGCCCTGTGCTGAGGTAAGAGGCCTGCAGACCATGCCCACACACACTTGCACAACATTTCACCACCATCCCACATTTGGAAAGCATGTCCTCAGTCCCTAAGCAGAGCAGGGTTACCCCAGGCCACCAGAGGGCAGGTGGTTCTTCCCGCTGGGCACCAGTCTTGGCTCACCTGTGATTGATAAACTGATGAACACTCATACGTTTGTCCAGACGTTTATTAACTTCGCTGGGTAAACTGAGAAAGGTACTTCAGTACAATGTGCCACAGGGCCACGAAAAACTGGCAGGTGTTTCCAGAGAGAAGGACTCAGAGTGCCCCCTTGTGGGGGTCCCTGCCTCTGCCCACTGCAGTCCTCACAGCGTGTCTCACTCGTCCCTGCAGCGCCCAGTGAGGCGGCTCCCACATCGCCAGTTCACAGACCAGGAAGCCAAGACCCAGAGAGGTGAAGAGCCTTGCCCTCGGCCCACCATGTGAAGCAGAGATCAAATCTGCCCTGTCTGGCTTTTAACCATGGTGCTGTGGGGCAATTTGGCCCGGCCTGCCTCGTGGGCTGTCTCCCAGCAGCCTGCTCCCCATAGGGGTGAAGGGGAAACAAGCCTTCGCGCGGCCCACGTGCCTCCCCTCGGCCCTGAGATGCTAATAAAGTGCTGGACCCAGACCTGACTGCGTCCTGTTTCTTCCTGGGAGCATGGGGTGGTGGGGAATGGAGGAGAAGAGGAAGATAATAGCCCCCCAGGTGCCCCCACATAGAACTGCCAGAGCCCAGTGAGCAGGGTCGATGCTCACCCCGGACGCCCTGAGGGCAGCTGCCATGCCGTGTGTAGAGATGTCTGCGCAGGGAGGGAGGGCAGGAGAGACCCTGAGATCCCCCCAGGCAGCCCCTCCTGCAGTCCCAGCCGTGAGACCGGCCAGGCCCAGCAGACTGAGGTCGGCCTCTGAGATCATAGCTGTGCCGTGGGCATCGTGAACAATACCTGCGAACACTGGGCCACAGCCCTCCCACCTGGGCCCAGCCTCTCCACGCTGCCACACAGTGAGGGGGGCGGGGCACAAAAACATTTTGAAGGAAACAAGAGGACAACCTGGGGAGAGAATTCCTCCAGCTGACTCTCCATGCAAAGACCTCTCTGCTCCCTCCTCTGATCCCAAACCATGGTGAGGACAGGGCATGCTACCCTCACCCCCCTCCACCCGACCCGGGCTGCAGTGGGGAGCCAGGGTGGGCATCTCTCTCCTATCACCGCACTGAGCCCAGCTGCCTATCTGCCCTGGTCTTTCTCAGCCATGGAACTGACCCAGCCAGGCACAGGGCCTCCTCGGGCTCACCACCCCTGCCCTCAGCCAAGCTGCCTCTGTGTCTCCCATGCCACACCTGTCAACACAGGGCTGCTGGGCCCCACAGACCAGCTCTTGGGGCTAAGCAACCCCACCCCCCACCCCCACCCCAGGAAGACCCTCTGGATTATCTCCATGAGGATCCGCAAACGTTCCTGGAAGCCAGGGCCTGACGCCCAGAGGGAACAAGACTGCTGGGGAATTCGGGCGTGGGCAACAGCTATCACAGGCGCTTGGGGACTTTTGTGGAGCTCATGCTGAGTACAGCCCCCAGCCCTGTGTACAGCTGTGGCAGGCGCAGCCCA